TTTTATTTTTACATGTTACCCCTACTACCTCCACTTAATTTCATGAAATTTTAAGAAATTAAATTGCAATCTCAAAATCTGTTTTATTAGTTAAAAGCAGACCCCTTTAAAATTTAATCATCAGTATTTTTTTATAAAACAGGACCCAGTTACCAAAAATCTGCTCTGATTAGTAAAATAAAAAATGCAATAAAACTATGACATTATTTAATCAGAAAAGCTTTTAATTGCTTTTATAAATAAAATTTATTAAGGATACTATTGTCTTAAGAAAAATATTTTTTTCAATGAATAATTAATTTTTACAAGAATTGTTTTCATTTGTTTTAAATTTTAATTACAATAATTTAAATTGTTTAAAATTCTGCATTACTTCAATCCAATTAGGTGATATTGTTATTAAGTGAAAACTATATGAATCAAAAATTGAAAAGCTTAATAAAAATTGTTTACCCCCAATATTTTTAAAATAACTTTTAATTTTTGTTTTTTAGTATAGAAACATTACCATTTACAGAAGTATGGATGTCTGTCACATGTTTAAGGGTTGTCCTCCCTAAAAATTTGGCTGTCTGCAATTCTGTCATTTTCATTTCTGTTTCATGTTTACAATTCAACAGGCTTTGCAAATCATCCCTTCAAAATTTTTAACTTTAAAGAAATTCTTACTTTTTTAATTCCTGTTTCACTAAATATCTTTATTTTGTGTATTTATTTTAGTGTGCGTTATACTTTAATTAAGTAATTTTTTTTTTTTTTTTTAGTTTAAATAAAAGAAAGAACCTGGAGACAAAGCTCAATTCTACAAAAAAGATAATTTTTACTTTAACTTAGATTAAATTTTTCTTATTAAATTTCTATTCAAATTTTTTATTTTTTTAAATTTGTGTGTCATTTTGAAATTTCCTTTCAAATTATTTTTACTCTAACTCCTAAATTATTTCATAAAAAATGTTTTTTGTTAGTAGTTTTTATTTTTATTTTTTTTTACTTTTTTTTGTGAGAGTTATTTTGATAAAAATATAAGGCTATAAATAAATATATATGTAAATAAAATTCAATAAAATATTAGATAATTGCTGAAAATATTATGTTCATTTTAAAAAATTACTCTGTAGTTAAAAACTAAAAACAAAGTGTTCACTTAGATTTCATAAATTTATGTCAATTTCTGGTCAACAATGCTTAGCTTTTCAACATGTTAAACTGCCAATCAATTGATTAACATGTCAGAAAAACAAGACCCTCTGGTTAAGAGATCCTTGTATATCATGTTTTATGCTGTAAGTAATATTTGTTTTAAATCAGATTAATTTAACTTTAAATTTGCTAATTTTCCTCAAATAATGTGTCACAAAAATATATTTTATTTTTGGTTGATTTTTAAAACCAAGAATTAACTTTTGTTTACAAATCTATCAAAATGGCTGATTTTTATTGATTTTCTGAAAGCGACCAAAAAGTTGAGATTCCAATCAATATAATTTCTACTTGAAATACACTAGAGTATTTTGCTTACTGAAAATAGTAAATTTAATCATTTAGCTTTCAATTAAAGTTGAAAAAAAAAAAAAAATTCAAGAATGCTTTTTCATTTTAAAAAATTCCTTTTAAACCTTAGGAATCCAAATTGTAGTAGAGGCCCCTGCCCTTTATTGAAGAGAGTAACTTCATTCCGTTAACTATCAAACTTTTATAAACATGACACTGGATTATTTCTTCTTCATTGATGCTAACTGCTGCAAGAAATTAATACCATAAATACTAATGATTTTTCAAAGAAAATATCATCAATTGGAGAAAGTAATTCAAGTTTCTCAATGAAACACAAGACGATTAACCAAAGTATTTTCAATTCATTTAAATTTTGAAGGTGGTATGCACCAGGGCTTGAAACTGACATCTCATTGTCCCAGAGACAGTAGAACATGAGTTTGAGATGGTTGGTTAAGATTTTGCCAATTATGCTGAGACAATACAAAATTCTTTATTAAAATTCCATTATATGTATCCTAAATATAAATATATTTTTTTTTAAATAAAAAAAGATTTTAACTTCTCACCAATAGTGGTAAACTTTTAATAAAAGAGCATGCACACACATACACAGACAAACACTAAACAAAACTAAAGCTCTTTTTTTAAATTAGTGAATTAAAACCAAATGAAAATGTTGAAGGACTTAAATTTAGATAATTGTATTATTTATCTCTAAATATGAAAGATATTAGGGTTTAATTGTAGGAACTAATTTTGTTTTAATAAATAAAGAGAATTATATATATTTTTTGTCAAATTTTGGTTAAAAAGACTTTATTGAACAATTAACAATATTTGTGTTTTTTGTTTATCATAAACTAACCTGAAAATACAAAAAAGAATTTTAAAAATAATGATTGCAGAAAATTTAGTCACAGCATGAGGCAGGTAAATGTAAATTAAAATCATTTGATCAAGACTAAAAATGTTTTTGATTTTACATTACTGGAATGTGCTAATATTCTTTATATAGAAAATGAATTAAGATATGATAAAGTTACACCAAGCATGAAAATTAACAAGAACATTTTTGTGAAAAATTATTCAAAGCTATTTAATCAGAATGTCTAAATAAATTCGCAACTTCTATAAAAATTACAGTAAAATTTAACTAATCTGTTTTGCATTTATTCATTTTTAAAACAATTGAAGTTGTTTTTCATTGTTTTTTTTGTTTAAATTTTACTTTTAAATATTTTAATTCTATTATGCTTGTAATGACTATTAGACACTGACACAATTTATAAAGCCTTTTTTATTAGATGGTTCTAAATTTGGGGGAGATAATTAAAGATTTTGTTTTAGACAGTTCCAGGACATAGAAGTTATTCTGGGATCTGGGTGCATGCGTGCATGCATACACAAAGTCACACTGAGGTAATCTTTTACAGCTAATAAAATACATTAATCTCTTTTACTGATTTCTAATCCACTCATATGTGAACTAATGCCAAAAAAATTATAAATTATTCAAATAAAGTTTAAAGAGGAAATCATCAAACTAAAAGAGACCATTACACTAACATGAATTTAATATAAACAAAAATTACTTAAATTCTACAATTATAATGGGAGGAAAAACATACTAAGAGAAGACTGATAAATTCAAATATGACATATGTAATATTTCAGAACTGAAATTGTCCAGATTACATTTTACTTACTTTCTCTTCCCTATATCTTTTATGGTTTGAGAATAAAAATATTTCAATTATGAAATCTTTCCCACAACATTCACCATTAGCACTCTGTAGGTGACTAATTTCGCCAAGCAAAATATTAGTCCTGCCAATGCAAGTTCAATTTGAATTTCTTGGTTGTGTAGTCATATCCTTCTATGGCAACACCTAAAACAATCTTGACTGAAATTGAGAGCCAGTTTACTGCAATTTCAAATATATAAAACTAATGTATAAAACACTATATTTGGAGGGGATTCCATAAAAGAGGAAGAGGCCAAGATTTAATTAGTGAATAAAATTTCAGAGTTTGGGCACCACTGTTAGGAGTATTTGAAGTAAACTTTAGAAAGAACTGGAAAGCCAATCCTAAACAGGAAACAAGGGATAAACCTCTACTCCTGTTCAAAAGACTGGAGAGGAGTCTGAACCAGACAATAGGCAAACCTGTCTAGGTCATAAAAGATTGTAAAATCATTCTTTCTTGTATGGAGGAAATGATGGTAAAACCATTTCATGAGGGCTATTATTGCCTTTTGATTTTGAAAATTCACAAATGCCTTTTGGTTTATCATTTAATAAGGATTTTTTTCATTATGATATTCCTTCCTTCACTCAATATTCCAGACTAATGTATTTTGTGACTTATAAGACTTTGCTCCCCACAAAATTACCATACATCTTACATGGTGAAGGAGAGTAAATGAAAAGATTTTAAAAAAGTGTAGTGGAAATATTGTCACTTAGCAGAAATATTTTATACAAAATTTTCCTTGGATATACTAATCAATACTGATTCATGTTAAATATTGTCACTCATAAGCAAAAAAAAAACCAAAAAGAATAAATTATGTATAAGAAAAAAAAAAAAAAAAAAGACCTTTTCCTAACATCAGAATACAGTTGTCTATATTTCTGAGATGAGGTATTGTAACTATTTACACTGTTTGGACTGTTGTCCTTATCTTTATTGTCATATTTCAACCATTCTACACTTCAGCCTTCTTCAGGTGATAAACATTAGAATTTCAAACGAAATACTTTATTTCATCCACTATGGTAAATTGTTCTAGTTCCACATGTAATAACTTTTCTGGAACTAGAACAATCTATCCGGGTGGACAAAATAAAGGGCCAGGTTTGAAATCCAAATGAAGAATCCACCAAAAAATCCTACCCAAAGAAGGCCAGAGCAGACAATGGCCAAAACATTGTGAATATGACATTAAAGATGAGGTCAACAGTCTGAACAATGTAAATAGTGTAAATCAGAATACAGTGTTTCATATTTTGTAGGATTTGCACTATTGTATGTCATTATATATTTATAATTATTATGTCTATCATTGACAGGTTAGGAAATAGATAAAATGTAAACTTTTCCCATTATCTCTTTTGTGACAGTTAAATTTTGGCTAAAGTATGTTGTCTGAAAGGCTACAGAAATTTAAGCAATCTTAATTTAGGCAAATTCCATACAATTTATGCTTAACAACATTAAACCACATGTCATACATTTATAGAGATAAACAAAACTGATCTTGGCGTAGTTGAACATGTACATTTTGATAACTTTTCCAAGGTTGATCACATATGGGGTCTTAGATGTTTATCAGGTAGAAAGACAAACGACATTATAAAAAATGCCTATCCTGGTTTGGTGGTTCCTTAGAGATGATCATTTCAGTGGCACTCGAAAATGGAAGTAAGAAAAGAGAGGGCATTCACAGGATGATGATACTAGCATGGTGAGCACAAGACAGGCATGAAAGAGACAGTTACCTCCGGTTGTATTTCCCATATCTGTCGACATTCAATTTAATCTCTGATGCTTCTGGGAAAAGGCACTGCAACAGCACTTTGGTGACATCTGATGGCAGGTTCCGCACCAAGATAGCTCGAAGACATTCCAAATCTGAAAGAGTGTCTGTACGAAATACAATAAAGGGAGGTAAAAAAAAAAATTTTTCATTGAGAAGCCATGAAGGACTGGCTGCAGAAAGAGAGAGAGGAAGAAAAATGCTATTTTTTAAGCAGGAATTTGAAAGGAAACAAACAGAATTTATGTCTCTGGTCAAGAAAACTTAAAGAACATCTACATCAATGTCCCTTTACAGTTAGATAATAAAATGAAAGTGTGCATTTGCCTGAATGTAAGTATGAGGTGGTGATAAAAATCTCAGCCTGATGAGAAAACCTTTCCAAAAAATGTTGAAGTCATTTGGTCAGATTCTGGGAAGTCTAGACAAGAACTTTTCACCACCTACTTCATATATGATATTTGCACTAACAAAGGAAAATCTAATGCCCTTAGAAATTATCAGGTTCTCCCTAACAATGAACAATCTACTGCTCTTAGAAAACAATCCTCAAATCTACTAAAGTCATTCATAAGCCATTCTGAAGGTGTCTAACAAACAAAGGCAATTCACTATTTTATGGGCAATCAGCTAAATTTGGTCTTTAAAACAACTTCTTAATTGTATAAGAACTAGTGATTCTCAACTGCCATGTCACGGCACACTAGTGTGCCACACAATCCTCTTAAGTGTGCTGTGAGATATTGTCATAGCATACGTGTGTGTGTGTGTGTGTGAAAAAGGGGTGCCGAATTAATTTCACCCACCATGATGCAAAGTAGTACAAAATTTTATTGTCAATAACTCCAAAATGGTAGATTTTATCAAAATTTCTTTGTTATTTTTTTTAAATAAGGATGAACATTTACACCTAAAATGGAACTATTCAGGAAATTTTTATAAGAAACTAAGCGCGGGGGTTACACTGCAAATTACCCACGAGTTGAAATTAGTTCTGTCACCCTGAAAAAGTAGTAATGGTACATCATTAGTATTTGAATAAATGGAATAAGTATTAAACTTTTTTATCAAATAATTCTTTTCGCTAGGTTTCTTTCCAAATTTGGACTTTAGTTATGGTAAAGAAAAAGAATTGGCCACCATTTCTAATGACCGAAGACTCAAAAGAAAACATTCGAAGGTACCCATAGATATATCCCACATTAGCTAAAAAGGCTTTATCAGTTTTATTGCAGTTTTCTTATTCATCTGAAATAGGATTCTCAACCTTAAATAATATTAAAAATAAGAAGCAAGAAAGACTATGCTCAACTTATTGCACATTCAACCAAACACTGAAGAAATCACAAAAAAAACAAAAAAAAAACAAAAAAAAAAGGTTTCAGACTACATAATCTGAACATATAATTGAAAAGAAACATTGAAATAAAGTAAATTCATATTTGTGTGCATGTGTTTTTAAATCTATGGTTTTATTTCATAATATTTAAATGTATACCCTTTAAAAATTTTGCTAAGTGTACTGTGATATTTTCATTTGTTCCAAGGTGTGCCATTGCTTACAAAGGTTGAGAAACACTGGTATAAACAAATATTATAATGTTTATCCAGATGCTACAACAAATTATAGTTTAAAGGGAGGGTGTGTTTTTTTAAAAAAAAGTGGCACAGTTTAAACTTTATGCCTTCACAAGTGTGTTAAAAGGATGGTTATTCCCTTGACACCACTATTATTGTATACACCTTTGACTCCTTCAATGTTTATTGTTTTTAAAAAGTGATGAAAAATCTTGTTTTCATAGTTATTTATAATAAATATATTAATATCACATTGTAGTTGATTTACACATTTTGATAATTTTGTAATTTTTATAAATTTTTGAAAAAGATTTTTTTTTCTAAATTTCTTTCGTTATAAAATGGTAAATAATAAATATTGCATTGTATTTGGTTCACATTTTTTTCTTTAATCAGTTAACTCCAAACAAGACAATAATGCCACTAAGAAAACTTGATCCCAAATAGGAAACAAAAAATATACTTCTTCAAAAGACTGGGGAGGAGTGCGAACCAGGCAAATTGTGTAAATAAACATTGCTAAAAGAGTCAAAAGTGTATATAATAATAGCAGTGTCACGGGAATAACTGTCTTAACACATCAGGTGGGGGGTGACAAAAAGGTTAAACATTGTCAAAACATATTCTTTGTCTTCAGAAGACTTGACAATAACTTCTGCTCTTCAGAATAACAGTGTTATTCACTGTCTATATTATAGTAGATGAAGACTGAATAATTTTGAAATAAAGAAAATCATAAAATAAAAACTGCAAAAACTGTAGACTGCAACAAGTGAAGCAAATCTCCAACAGACATTAATATATCTCTATCTCTCTCAATGAATATGGATATGCAATAAAGAATAGTATGAGATTAGTTTTCAACTCATAAACCAAACAACTATGTAAAAAAAAAAAAAATCCATAACCAATTTCTCCATTCAGACATTCAGTACTTAAAGGAGCAAAATATTCTGCTGTTATATCACAAACTACTATCTGACTAAAATGATGTTATTCTTAATAGGGATTTTTCTTAGTGCATGAACCCTTTATAAACAGCTGTGTTAGTTGATTTGTTTAAACCTTTGTTATGCAGATTTAAATTGGATGAGCATATTGTATATGTATCAAATAACTTCTGTCTGTATTTCCGAGATATCATATTGTAACTATTTACATTGTTCGGACTATTGTCCTTGTATTTATTATCATATTCATGACATTTCGGTCATTGTACGCTCTGGCCTTCTTCAGGTGATATACATTGGAATTTCAAACCAAACCTTTTATCTAGTGCACTGGGGTAGATTGGTCTTGTTCAGCATACCATGGCCGAAATGTCATGAATATGACAATAAAGATGAGGATAACAGTCTGAAAAATGTAAATAGTGCAAACTGAGCAATTTGTCTAAAATGAAATATTTTAGAATTTATATACTAGTAATGCTACAAAAGAAATTACTTATATATATATATATATATATATATATCATATATATATATATATATATATATTTAAGTACAGTTAATATATTTATACTAACAATAATATAAATAGTGGTTGCATAAGTTTATTTTAATAAGTCTTGATAAATAACTTTAAAGAAAAATAGTCAGGTAAACATGGCCAATCTAAGAACTGAGCAAAATACCAGTATGACACTTCAGTTACATAAACGAGGAGATTCTACAAAGGATGGCGTCAACTTTGATTTGTCCAGAAACAATCACAAAAGAAAGGAATTTGCAGTGAAATGAAACATGGTAACAATTATACCATGAGATGTGACTTTGGTGAGGCTAACTTTAAAGATAAAAATTGCTGGAATTCATCACCACTAAAGTTTACAGGTAGGCAAAAAAGAATTAGGGGCTGTTATCTTGATATACAGCAAGAAAATGTTTCCCAAAAATGAAAGCGGCAAATTAAAACATCAGAAAAACTAAAACCATTTTACATAGGTATTCATTTGCATTCCAACTGCTATTTTTATTTTACACCAGTCTAAGAAAATATGTAGATTTCAGAAATTAAGTTGAAGTAAACGTGCACAAAATGATTGCATAAGAGTAACAGGTCTTCTTTTCTTAAGCCATGTGTAGTAATGTGTAATAGACTTTGCACTCAATGTTACCCTATACCACCAAAGAAACCAGGTGCCTCAGCAGACTGATCTGAGAAATGACCACCTGGTTGGAGAGGAAGATGTGCACTTCACTTAATGTCAATGGCTTCCCTGAGACATAAACACATGATCAACTTTGTTGTGCCTAGAATGTGCATCTATGAAAAAAAGCAAAAAAACAAACGTATGACTGGTAGATGCATAAACATTCACACAAGAGTGAGAAGAGAATCTCATACATTCATATTAGAATGTAGACCCCATGTTCAAAGTGAGCACTGCAGCCTCACACCCACTGACTGATGATAATTGAAAAAATCCAGAATTGAATAAAATCTAAAGTTAAGAATTTAAGTCTCCTGTATTTATTAGTCAGTACAGCCATAACACATGTAAATTTTCTGAACTTTTTAATGATTTTTCATTTGATAAAAGAGATTGTTGAAACAATTATTTGAATGGAAAATATGTTGCTTACTCCAACGCCACGAACAAGTATTTGCAATCAGGCTTGCTATTATTCCAGCTATTGTTTAAAATGACAGCCAGAAATGAATTTGTTTTGGTAATATTTATTTCCACAGTTGAAATGGAAATATTTAAATGAGACATAAATAGTCCAGAGAAATTACTTACAATTTAATTCTCAAGAGAAAAATCAATGAAATGGACGTGCATTTGAATAATATTTAACAGTAGAGAAAATTAAAAGAGTTCTGTTCACTTCATATTAATAGACTTGGAAAAGGCAATTATCTATTCCTTCTTCCTCAATCCAACTATAGAATAAATTGGAGAACAGACTGGGTGCTCTTATAAAAATTTTATTATTGATTACTGTTAGTCTTTGGTGTAATAATAAATGTTTAATAGTCTCGGTTGCTTTTTTTGTACACGTTCTTTTGTAGAAGTGTCTTTTTAGGCTCAGCAGTTAAAAACTGCCAAAATTGTTAAGGATCATTTCAAGTTTATGGAAAATTATTTTTTGGTATTTTTTTTTTTGGCCAATATGGTCTTAAGCCCTTGTGAAAACTTGGATGGAGCCATCAGTGAGCCTCTTTTTTTTTCATAAATAAAACTCCAGTTAGCAGATAACCCCAGAAGGCATTTTACATCAAAGAGCAGAATGCATTTTTTGACATCAAGAACAAAGCATTTAGACATAAGGCAAGTTACAAATAAGCTGCAGAGAGCCCAAAATAATTTTGAAAGTGAAAAATCTCCTGCAGTTGAACAACAAAGAATGAAAAAAAGAATTCAAAGAAATTTTCCCAAAAGGCTCAGTGAACAAACAATGTGAATATAAAAAAAAAAAGTTTCCAAAATTTTTATAAGTCTTTGGGATGTGCACGGGACAATTTAAAGTAGTTTTTTTTTTCTTTTTTCTAAAAAAGGTGGTTGCACTGGAGTCATTCTGTG